TGATTTATCGCGAACGCGCGTGTCTCGAAAGCTCGCTTGTTCGAGATTCATTTTTCGAAAGCGAGCACAATGCCGCGCTCTGAGGAACGAGCCTTGAACCGCTCAATTATCCAGCACCTTAAGCGGCTCGGCTCGCAGGCGAGCAAGGACGCGAACGAAGAATATACGAGCGACGTTACTTGGTACAACGATAATTGAACCGAGATGTGCACACACCCGATCGCGGCCCGCCGGAGCCAACGATCATCGATACACGTACGATAAATAAAGCGAATGCACGCCGACCGTAGCTCGATGACTATAAAAAAGCAGTGAGTGAGGTCAGTCAGTGGATATTCAAAAGGCGCCCATCGTCGTCTTTTGAGGCCCTCGACGATCACTGTTCCTTCCACTGTGTCTCTTTGCTCGTCTCTTCTTTTGATGACCCCTGGTGGTAATAGTGACTCAGCCTGCGTGATGGATAGAATTCTCGAATCGTGTTCGACGAAAATAGCATTCCGCGAGTTACGTCGCGCGACAGATTTCGCCCAGCTTTATTTCCAATTCCTAATTCCTATCGCCAAGTCTCTTCGTACGATTCCCTTTTTCATTCTCGTCGAACAAACGTGCACTACTTGCAATTCTAATTCGGAATGTTTGACCGTTTCTTTTCTTTTTCTTGTTTTGGTGGAAACACAAAATATAAACCTAATATTTAATCTCAGATTTATACATAAATGCTAACGTTTTGCACGAACAATCTCCATTCTGTTTCATCGAATTTCAAAATCACGCAACTGGCTGTTTCATGTTCGGTTTGACGCGCTGATTCTGCGAAGCATTCTGCTATCTCGCGTTGCGTTCGATTATCTTCGAGCAACGAATCGGTGTAACAAATAATATTTGCCGGAACATTAAACCAGCAAATTCTCAAACATTTTACGCGTTTGTGAAATCGACTATATGTGCATCGCGATATTAATTGATATCAACGCCATTGAGTAACATTGAAAGCGAATTGAATGTTAATGGATATTTACAATTTCAGTGATGCAAGGTCGTGAGTACAGCTAAATTTTATCGCCGTTTCATTCGAACGAGTTGCGATCGATTGTCAGAATAGTTGATTAAATAATTGTAGCGCATTGACATTAAACAACGATTGTGGCAATGGTTTGAATCCATAAATCCATTCTGTAAAACTTATGTTGAGTTCAAACTATTGACGGAATTTAATTAACACGAGACGAACGCGGTCTTGTCGATGATCTTACGATCGTCATCGATCGTAAAAGTCATTCGTGCGTTTTTCGATACTTTAATCCAAGATGGCTCGATTAATTTTATCGTTTGAGAAGGATAACAATAGCAAATCTCATTAGTATCGTAGTCATCCACGATAAATCCTGCGAATTATTTTCGTAATTGCTGTTCGTTTTCGCCCTCGTCCAAGTCTGTTTTCGACATTACCAGTTTTTTTCGTAGCATTCTATCATATTACAATGTGTTGTAACGTGATATTTTTATCAATTCTGACACGATTTTTGCACTGTAACCTATTTTTCTACAAATGTATTGCTGTTATTCGTTCTTTTATCATCGTAAAATGCGAAGCACTCGAGCAAGTTTATTACTTAGCTTTGTTAGGTTATGTACAAAACAATGGCATGAAAACATTCGACAATTAGTAAAATCGAGCAATACTACTTAATTTTGTCAGGTTATGTACACAACAGTCGTATGAAAACATTCGACGATTAACAATCGAGCAAGATATTACTTAACTTTGTTAAGTTATGTACAAAACAATTGTATGAAAACATTCAACGATAAACAATCGATATTAATTTTGTTAGGTTATGTGCATAACAATCGTATGAAAACAT